GGAGCAGTTCCTCATGCTCCTGGTGTACGTGGACGACATCCTGCTCTTCTCTGAGTCGTCTGCGATGATTGAACGTGTGGAGGAGATGCTGGAAATGCAGTTCAAGTGCTCCAAGATGGGAGATGTGAAGTACTACCTTCGGATGCATGTGGAGAGGGACCTTGACAAGGGAGTGTTGAGGTTGCACCAGAGGAAGTATTGTGAGGGGCTGGCCGAGAAGTATGGGCTGCAAGATGCAGGAAAGCCGGCCACCCCACTGCCTTCGGGGTTCACTGTGGAGCCCTGTGCTGATGAGGAGGTGGTGGGGGAGAGTGACAGGAAGTTGTTTCACTCCATGGTGGGGGCACTCAACTATGCGGCTAACCACACGCGGCCTGACATTGCCTTTGCTACATCCAGGCTTGCGAGTGTGGTTTCATGCCCAAGTCATGAGCAGCTGGAAGCGGCCAAGAGGTTGGTCCGCTATGTGAGCGCTACAGCATCAGTGGGCTTGGAGTACAGTGCTGTGCGACAGAGGCTGCAGAGGGGTGCAGCTGATTTGAGCAAGGGGGAGATGCGCTTGACTTTCTACACCGACGCTAGCTTCAACTCAGTGAAGACGGATGGCACCAGCATTGGAGGCTATGTGTGCCTCTTTGGAGGTGGTGCAGTGAGCTGGCGCAGCAAGAAGCAGAACGAGGTGGGGCTGTCCTCGTGTGAGACAGAGTACATGGCCCTGCATCATGGGGCAAAGGAGGTGGTGTGGCTGAGGCGTTTGTTGGAGGAAATCGGAGTGTGTCAGAGGGAGCCGACTGTGATTTTCTGTGACAATGAGTCGGCGGTGAAGCTTGCGAAGAATGCCTGTCTTCATGGCTTGACAAAGCACATCAGGCCAAAGTGGCATTGGACAAGGAGGCTCCTGGACAAGGAGGTGCGGCTGGAGATTGTGAAGACCCATCAGCAGGCGGCTGACATTCTCACCAAGCGCCTGGCTGAATCTGAGCATTGGAAGGGCATGAAGCTTGCTGGGATGAGTGTGCATTGAGGGTGCATGCTTGAGCTATGACATGTGGGATGATGGTTGGCAGCCAGAGGGGGAGTTTGTTGTGTGATGCAATCATACGCATTCACGTCTGTCTGCCTCCCATCATGTGTTCGTGCGTTGCATGCGTGGTCTGAGCGTATGCAAGAATTTGTGTTTTGTGCGGTTTGGTTTTTCTGAGTGTGTGTGAATGTTATTTGGCTTGAGCAGATATCTGAAGTGACTCCTCTGCTCAAGAGCTTTCCGACGAACCAAGTATCGCTTCAATCGGAGCACGAACAAGAAAGTTACGAACGTTGGAAGTTCGTATGCTTTTGATATTTGGTTGTGGTGACTATGGGAAGTTGTGGTGTTGACTCCATAAGGAGTACAGAATCTTGGGGGTTGGGAAATTCGTCAACATCACTGCAGATGCTGCCAAGTGGTTGGGAGGTGCCAAACCAGGTTGGCAAGTGTGGCCAAGTTGGGTGAGGTGGATGGCATGGGTTGGAAAGTGACAAAGGTCAAAGTTTGTTGCCTATGGGGAAGGGAATTGTGTGGTATGGGGTTTCCTTGGTTGGGGACTCCCTTGGGGCCTTCCCTCTCGTCCTCGTCTTCCCCTCCTACCTGGTTTAGTGCTACTCCAATGTTCTTTTGTTGGACTTGTGAGTTAATTGTGATTGAGTTAAATTTCTGTGGCAGCATACCCCCTAGTGCGCCGAAAAACATAACTCGAGATATACTTCATATTTTGATACGATTCAAACTGGGAAATGTAGCCACGGTCTAGGGCTACAACATATTCGAAATTCGTGGGATTCTAACGGTGCACCTTTCGTCGACAACGTTTCTTGTGAAGTCGACGTTTCTGTCCAGAATTCTAAGCCAACGATTTTGTGATAATTTCGGCTCCTAAGCTTCTAGACTCCGTCCTTAGTCTCTAACAGAACGTAGGTACAGGGGCCAGCACCCCCACCCCGCTGACGAGCAGTGTACCACTCACGAAGCTGCTGGGGGGAAGGGGTCTCACGAGTGCGCTGCTGCTGCTGCTGCTGGCGCTGACCACCACCGGAGCCGACCCTCTGCGAAGAGCCGCCCCGACCAGCTCCACCTCCGCCGCCGCTACCTCCACCACCGCCTCCACCTCCACCACCTCCGCTCGCACCGCCACCACCGCCGCCTCCTCCGCCTCCACTGCCGCCACTAGTGCCCCCACTCCCGCCACCACTCCCACCGCCACCCCCACCCCCTCCGCCGCCTCCACCGCCGCCTCCACCGCCCCCGCCAGCTCCTCCAGCGCCCTTGCCCCCTTGCCCTTGCCTGAGCGGCGTCTCCCGCTAGGGGCAGACGCCGCGCCGACTGACTCAAGACCAACGAGGTCGGCCGCAGCAGCAGAGGCAACAGAGGGCAAGAGGGGGGAGGGGGAGCACCCCTCAAAGACAGGGGTACGAGGGTCACCACGAGAGGCTCCTACAGCGACTATACTCTTTTCTGCTGCTAGGAGGCGCTCCTCGAGGAGGTCAACGGTGAGGGTGGTGGGGCAAACAGAGAGGAAGTGGTCCCTGACCGAGCGAAGGGTGTCAGGGAGCCGGGTGACTATGTAGTAGAGGGTGATGTACATAGGGGGGGGTTCTTGGCGCAGAACTCAGCAGGAAGCGCAGCGCGGTAGCGAATGTCACTAGTGCGAAGGTGCGTAATGAGGTCAGCGACTGTGGGAAAAGCGGCGAGGTCAGGGAAGAGGTACGGCGGTATGAGACGGCTAAGGGCAGCAGTGGCAGGGGAAGAGTAGCGTGCAACGACAGCGTCGTACAAGCTCTTAGCACTCTTGTACTGACTAAAATGCGCGCGCTCAGCGGTTGGTAAGTGGCGGCGTACAGCAAGGCGAGCAGCAGCATCGCGCGTGGCCCACTGTGAGCGAACAGTGGCGTCAGCATCAGCAGCAGGGGCAGGAGAGGCACCAGAGGTGAGGTCAAACAGAGAGAGACCGTCTGCCCTATCGCACTGTAGGAAAAGCTGCAGATCATCTACCCAGACCTCAAAGTCAACAGCCCGACCCTCAGCGTCAAAGGTGAGAACACTGGGGGTGGCCATGACAGCAGTAGATTGGCAGAGAGAGCAGCGGGGTAGGGCAGTGCAGTGGCAGAGGCGCTGCTCTTACCAGGCAGGTGGGGCGGGCCGAGGCAGGCCGGCAGGGACAGGGCCGCGACGGCAGGGACTGCGGCGTCTCGGCTGCGGCGGCGTGGCGGCTCGGCGGCTCGGCGGCTCGGCGGCTCGGCTGCAGGGCGGCTCGGCGGCTCGGCGGCTCGGCAGCTCGGCGGCTCGGCGGCTCGGCGGCTCGGCAGCTCGGCGGCACGGCGGCAAGGGCGGCTCGGCGGCTCGGCGGTGACGGCGGCTCGGCTGCTCGACGGGGCCGGGAAGGGCGGCTGAGGGGCCGAGGAAGGGCGGCAGGGCCGCGAAGGGCGGCGACGGGGCCGCAAGGGGCGGCAACGAGGCCGCTGAAGGGCGGCGACGAGGCCGCTGAGGGTCGGCGACGGGGCCGCTGAGGGGCGGCGACGTGGCCGCTGAAGGGCGGCGACGAGGCCGAGGGGAGGGGGGGACGGCGACGGGGCCGCTAAGGGCGGCTACGGGGTCGCGGCTCGGCGGCGACGGGGCCGAAAGGGGCGGCGACGGGGCCGTAAGGGGCGGCGACGGGGCCTTAAGGGGCGGTGACGGGGCCGTAAGGGGCGGTCGCGGGGCCGTAAGGGGCGGCGACGGGGCCGCTAAGGGGCCACGCGGGGCCTAGAGAGGGCAGCGACGGGGCCTGAGGGGCCGCTAAGAAGGGCGCGACGGGTCGCTAAGGGCGGGACACTAGGCGCGCTTCGGGCAGGGGCGGCACGCGCCCCGGGTAGGAAAAAAAATATTGGTGGGCCCTAGGAACAGTTCCCACGAGGGAACCTGCTCGATACCATGAGAAACTTAGAACGAGAATGGGTTGACTAAGGAATGAAAGTGATACAAATATGAAACCCTAGAATTGTGTACCCCTTAGTATCTAACCCGCTACAGCCTACACAGGCTAGATCATATAAGTTTGACAGTGCCGGACGAGATGACGATCGGCTCGTCTGATTGTGCAGATGCATTTGTCGGTGCGTGTGGTGGCGCTGGAGTGTTCATCGTTGATTGCTGACGCGCGGAGTCACGTTCCGCCGTGAGCGTCGCAATTTCGAGCGCCGAATCTTCAAGTTGGCGCACCAGACGGTCGAGCTGCTCCTGCGTCAATGTGGCGAGCGTGAATTCGGCCATGGCGGGGGTGTCGGGCGAGCTCAGCGAGAGCCTCGGTCGTGGCCGTGCGTGCTTACGAGAGAGCACTACGAGCGGCGGTGCTGTGTCGCTGAGAGACGTCTACCCCCCCCAAAAATTGAGATAGTGGGGAAGCGAAGGTGTGGGTGCGGTCCGAGAGGAGATCGTAGGCTCTGAATACCAAGTGTTACGAGTACAATTGAGTGAACGAACGAGAATTGCACTATCGAAGCAAGAGTACAATGAGCGAAGGCATGAGCAAAGAATATATAGCGAAACTACAGTGGTAACGGTAATGGACTGTGGTTGTCGCGCGACGGGCCTGGGACTGAGGTTGGGAAAAGTGTCGAAGCGGAGGCCCGGAGCGCGGGTTACCTGCCGAGCCGTGAGGTCGGGGTGCGATGTGCGAAGTTGGCGGGCGGATTGTCGATGCGAGGGTGGCGAGTGGTAACGGTGCTGACTGTGGTGCTACAGTGCTGTACGCGTTGAGCAGGGATGCGAAGTAAGGAAAAGGAATTTTCCTTACATTCAGCAAACATAACGAATATGGAATGCAAACAAATATAAATAAACTGCACAGGAGTTATCCTTTTTTACTAGCTTAGCTAATCTACGTAAGAGCCAACTAGAAGACGGAAAATGACAACCATAATTACATTACACTACGCATATATTAATCCGAGCCGAGCTGCCTTAGGCTGAAGCCTTACAGCACGAG